TGCCCAAAATTTTTACTTTCTGGTTCTCGTAGCTTAAAAATGAACAAATTAGCCTCAATCTGATTCTCAAGATGAGAGGTACGGTGACACTTGAAGGCTACATTCTGGACATTCAGTCCACACCGCATAATGTTTATAGATGTTTATCTTCCAGTCATAAAATTATCTCCAATTTTGAGCTAGCAGGACATGGAAGGACACCCAGAGATGGGCAGAGAGAGATTCAAGCTGATTTCAATTTGCATCTCTTTAACAAGTCTGTGAATTAAGCCCCCAAAATTTCAGGCTTCGTAGCTCTAAAGTTAAACGGTTCGGAGAGAAAGAGACGAGCACACAGGCATAATCTTGCCATGTTTTTCTGCGATTTAGAAATGCTTAAAAAAATTGATTAGCAGAACGGGAGGAGGCGAACTGCTGACTCAACAGTACCAAGAAAGACCGGAATTGATCAAAGGAACGAGAGCGGAACCGAATCAGTGTCAGGAACGAAAAATGGAGGGAGTGAGGAATAAATCTAGCTATCAAATACATCCGGAAGGATACAGAAAATGAATCTGATTTCGAAAAAAAGAAAGGAATTGAAATGGACCTATTGGGAAGGAGCGCGTGTGGTGCTGTTGGAAAGAACGGTTCCGGTAGGAATCACGATACTCGTTCCGTGCGCCCCTTCGGCAACATACATGCCCCCCGCCCCCTCCCCTCCCGACAACTTACTATTACTACATCAGCCGCCTTCTCGCAACCATCCATAACACTTCGCTTGCTGCCTCTGGTACTCCACCCGCACGCCCGCAATTCCCACATAACCTTCCGAGAGAAGAAAAACCAAACCCCGTGTAAACGCTTACCATTCTGTGAAGCGTGCCGTGCACAACAGCAGCAATGCTGCTACCAACAACGTGCAAGCACTCATCCATCTTCCCTTCTGTCAGGATTTTTCAGAATCGGGAATGAAGGCACTCTCGCTTTTACGATCACACAATGCAAAAGTTCTCTTTATGACACGACAAAAACCGAGGCCGCTCTCAAAAAATTCGACAGCCGCTCTCAAACAAATGCGGGACACCAAAAGCCGGAGAGACTTTTCTCGGATATGGACTGCAACTACTTGTCACTAGGAGCGAGAAAAAATTTCTGAGTGAGGCTAGCAAAAACGAAGAAAGTTTGAATATCACTCATCGGTCTGCAGTGCGTTTTCCTCGAAAAAAAAAACCTACAGGAAATTCGGGACAATTGAAACAGATTAATACGGTTAAAATTGTGCGACAGCAGCAACTTTTTACAAAACCGGAAATTTGTGGCATACACATGCAGCAAATGGAGGCACGTGCTGGTGATGGAGCACGAACACTTCTGCTTGTTGCCTCATGTAACATTTTCCAAAGAAAACAAGGAAGTGAGGACGGGGAAGATTTGGCTTGAAGTGCGAAACCTGAAGGATAACACACAGATTTAGCGCGGCTGCTGTCCAGGAAACAGAGCATCACATTGTTAGTGTGGAATGCGGCTGCCGATCGACCAGTAGCAGCAGCAGTAGCAGTAGCAGCAGCAATAGCAGCAGCAGCATCATCCGTACTTCCTTCCCTCAATTACGCCTTCGGATTTCCACTTACCGCTCATAACATTTTCAGCTTCTTCCGCAGTGCCTCCCCTCACTGATGTGTTCTTCCGGCTCCTCCTGATTAATAAATGTTAAGCAATGGCGGTGACCTTCGGCGCCATCCTTGCACTCCTCGAAATGCCATTTCAAATTGAGCAGCGCTGGCAAAAAGCAACAAAGCACTGTTGCTTCTGGCGCTGTAAAGCAGATCTAATCTGCCGGTCATCTGAATACATTAGCGATGCGCATGCCCACACTCTTTTTTGCGAAAAACCACTGCGGACGCCACCACCACCACCGCGCTGAATGAGTCAGTGCTGCATGCAACAGTTTATCATCATGAAAACTGTCCAGCACAAAAATTTCAGGCTCACAGCTTTTTCCTGAATGATCCTTGTCCACCTACAAGTCAAAAACCAGTGCAATTTGAGAGCTGCTTTCGGGACTATAATGCAGACCTGTGCTGTCAACTAAAACTAAGAAACCCCTAGGCCCGAACTGCGCCGCTGACCCAATTTCTCTGAATTAAAACATTAGTCTGCTGCAGGCAAAGGGCAAAAAAACAAAGCTGTATTTCAGTTCATTTATCTACACAATACTGTCAACTTGAAACCAGAGAATTCTAAATTCAAACGGAAGTTAGCCGGCACTTAATTTTCTGCCCACAGATAAGCTAAGATTTTAGGTTCGTTATGCTCCGAAATGGACTGTAGAAATTTTGACCTTTTTACCCTCTTCAGAAGGCCATTCAATTTGCACCACACAGTGATTTTAACCCGGAAGCTGTC